GTCTTAGGAAAGGTGAAAGGCTGAAAACTAATGATTTAAATATTTGTATCATGATGTTAGGAAAAGGATAGCAAATTAAACTCCAAGAAGGAAGGAAGGAAATAATAAAGAGCAGAAACCAATGACAGGAAAATGAATAATAGATTTCTTTGAAAAGGCTCACGAAATTGATAAATCACTAACAGGAAAGAAAGAGGAGAGGTCACTATAAATCCAACCAGGGTGACCGACTGTCCCAGTGTGCCCAGACTGTCAGGTTATAGCACTGAAAGACTCGTGTGCCAGGAAACCCTCTATTCCCCAGCAAACAGTGCAGTTGGTCACCCTAGATCCAACAGACACTGTACCAAGAGGACGTTATGAACAATGTTATGCCAGTAAGCTCGACAGCTAAGATGAAGTAGACAAATTCTCTGGAAAGCACAACTTACCAAAATAGACACAGGAAGAAACAGGAAATCTGAGTAGTCTTATAACTAATATAGAACTTGAATCAATTATTAAAAATGTCTCACAAAGAAAACTCCGGGACCACATAGCTTCACCAGTGAGTTTCCCCAAATATAAAGAAGAGAAAACACACAAATATTACACAAACTCTGAGAGAACTGGAAAGGTAGAAGCACTTCCCAAGTTATTCTCGGAGGCCGGGATAACCAATGTTAGAATCTGACAAGGACGTCACAAAACGGGAGAATTACTGGCCAACTGCCCCCGTGAAAAGGATGAAAGATTGCGAACTTTTTTTCTGCAAAGGGCCAGATGTAAACATTTTAAGTTTTGTGGGTCACGCAGTCTCTGTTGCGACTCCTCGACTCTGCCGTGGCAGTGCAGGCAGCCACAGGCGGTACACGAATGAGCGTGGCGGTGAGTGTCCAATTAAAAAAACTGCCCACTACATAGACAAAGATCCTAAACAAAGTACTGGCTCATTTAACCCAGTGATACATAAAAGTAATAAAGAGTTGTCCCAGGAATTCAAAGTAGTTTCAGCATAAAAAATTCACCATTTTAACAGAATAAAGGAGAAAAACCATAGGATCATTTCAATAAATGCAGAGAAAAGTTTGATAAGATTCAACACTTGTTTCAAATAAAAATTTGTAATGAACTAGGATTAGTAGGAAACTTTTTAATCTGCTATACCTACAAACAAACAAACCCCCAAAGCAAACAGCATATTCCACAGTGAAATATTGACAGCCTGGAAATCAGACAAGGATGTCTGTGGTCACCACCAGTGTTTAGCACTATGCTGGAGACCCTGGTCAGTGCAATAGGTCAAGAAAAAGTCTAAAGTATAAGGATCAGAAGAGAAGAAATAAAACTCATTATTTGCTGATCACAAGATTGTGTAAGTTGAAAGTGCAAAAGAAGCTTATTCTAAATTAGAATTAGTAAATGATAATCACTGGATATAAAGTCAATATACAAGATCAATTCTGTTCCTATATAAGAGCAACACACAATTAGAAAAGAAATTTAAAAAATTAATACACTTTGTTACAATTATAGAATTTTGCACATCAAAAGACACTATTGAGAATGAACAAAAACCCCACAGACTGGGAGAAAATATTTGCAAAACAAATAGCTGACAAGAGTTTAATATCCAGAATATATAAAGAACTCCCACAACTCAACAAAAAGACAATAAGCTATTTAAAAAAGTGGGCAAAGGACTTGAATAGACACTTTTTAAAGAAGATATACAAATGGCCAATAAGCACAAGAAGCAGCTCACTAGCGTTAGTCATTAGGGAAATGCAAATCAAAAACACAAGATAACCATTTCACACTGCTAGGATGGCTATAATAATAATAAACCCCAAAGCAGAAAATAGCAAATGTTGATGAGGATGTGGAGAAATTAGAACTCTTGGGAATGTAAATACTGCAGTCACTGTGGAAGACAGTTTAGAGATTCCTCGAAGAGTTAAATTGGAATTACCACATGACCCAGCACTTCCGCTCCTAGATACACACCCAAAAGAATTGAAAAGAGGGACTCAGATACTTGTATGCCAACATTTGTAGCAGCATTATTGATAGTAGCTAAAAGGTCAGAACAATCCAAGTGTCCATGAACAGGTGAATGGATAAACAACATGGGTTTTCCATGCTTCTTATTTTCTGTATTTCCTGGTGCTTTGACATCTTGGAACCCTGCTAGCCTGGAGCCACTGACCCTCCTGATCTGTAGGGCGAGCCAGTTCCTACGGATTGTAAAGGATTTGCTGACATTACTCAGACTAGCCAATGCTGAGCCTGCTGACGCTGCCTTGCCTTTCCCTCGGAAACCACAATCAAGGCTCTGCCCTCATTTTCTCCTCGTAGGGCGGGGGAGTGCTGGGGAGGCTGCAGAGAATGGATGAATGAGATTACAGTGTACATATTCTGGCATCGGAACCAACAGGACTTGCTGAGGACCAGATGTGGGGGATGAGGCAATGACCACTAAGGGATAACAATGATTCCTAGTTTGAGTGGTGCTGTTTATTGACATGGGTCAGAGGGAGGGAGGTTGGCGGATCAAGGGCTATGTGGATGGCTAAAGTCTGAATGGTCTCTGATACATACCAGTGGAGGAGTCAAGGTTGGGTGTTAAGTGTAAGAGCACGGTTTATGTGAGAGTCAGAGGGACCCTAACGTCCAAAGGCCATACAGAGGGGGAAAGTCACCAGTGGGGCCTGAGAATTGAGTAGTTGGTGATTTAGGATAAACCCGGGACCGTATGGTATTACAGGAGTCGGTAAGAGTGAGTCTCAGGTCGGAAGGAGTGATCAACTGGGTTGAATGCTACTGAGAGGTCAAGTCAGGTCAAGTCAAGTATAGAAACATTGATGAAAAGTGACCAAGTACCAGAGAATAATAGAGCCATGTCTCTGTTAAGACTAGTCAAGAGTCAATGGTAACTGAGAGAGAGACACCAGGTAGGGACAACTCTACTGAGAAGTGGCTTAAAGGAAAGCAGGGAAATGCAGTGGAAACTAGAAAAGAATCTTTTCTTTTTTAAAGGTGTGAGATACTAGAGCATGTTTCCAGAGGGAAGGAGGGAGGGAAAGAGTGAGAGTGAGAGAGAAGTGGGTGGGGAGGGAATGAGACTGTTGGCTGTTATGACAAAGAGGCAATAACCTGAGTCCTTTTGGTCTCAGGACCAAAGTTTCTGGCCTCAGGATCCATTATAATCTCGAGAAGCATTGAGGATCCCAAAGAGCTTTTGTTTTTGTGAGTTATAACTACAATCTTTACCTATTAGAAAGTAAAACTGATAACATTTAAAAATATTTGTTTACTAATTCATTCAAAATAATAATAAACTCATTACATATTAACATTTTAATGAAAAATTATGGTTTCCAAGACAAAAAAGAAGTAGTGAAAAGGCAATTTTATATTTTTGCAAATCTCTTTAATGTCTGGCTTTCTAGAAGACAGCTGGATTCTTCTATCTTCTTTTTCGCATTCAATCTGTTGCAATATCACACATCACGTAGCTTCTGGAAAGCCTGACTGTACACTCAGGAGAAAATAAGAGTGAAAAGGCAAGTAACATCTTAGCATGGCTTTGAAAATAGTTTTGATATTATGGACTCTCTGAAAGGGTCTCAGGACACCCAGTGGTTCCCAGACCACACTTTGAGAACTGCTGACCCAAGCAAGCAAGTCCAAGAGAAGGCAGATGGGGATGGGATTTAGGGCACAAGAGGAGGCACTGGCTTCTGTGAAATGCAACCCCTCATCTCTTGGAACAACAGCGAAGGGGAGATGGATGTCAAGGTGGTTGTGAGACAACGGTGTGTCCCACTCTCTGGATTCTTTTTCTCAGTAAGATCTGAGGTGAGGTCATCACTCAGATGAGGAGGTAAAGGCTGAGGGAGGTCGGAGAGAGAGAAGGTAGGAAATCACTCTCTCTCTGAGCAGGAACCAGTGATGTATAGTCAGTTTGCCGAGCAGGGACCACGAAACACCCATCTCTGTAGCACCCAGCAAGGTACCCTATTGTTACTGGCGCATTGGGTTCTTATTGTCCCCCAGGATGGAAATCAAGAGAGTCAACAAACCAGAGTAGAAAGTAAAAGTTGATTAGCTTGTGCACAGGGGAGGCACAGGGGAGCCGGGGCGGAAAGGAAAGGGGCAGGTGACTGGCTCATTAGGGAGCGGGATTGTGGGGCTTTTATTAGGCGAAGGCTGGGGAGGAGGGCCTTGTCATGGCATGCAGAGGTGGCTGCGCTGTCACTAGCATGCTACTACATGCGACACATGTATCATTGGCACTAGCTCTCCACCCTGGGTGTGATTTTTACTATGCTAATGGGGCTGGGGTCACCTTCAGTGGACTCCTGGGCGTTAGGACACACGCATGAGCCCAAGGAAGTCCAGAGGCTGTGGAATGTGCAGCTTGGTGGCCTCGATCTGATTCTCCTAGCCTGCCGATTGGTTAGGGGCCTTGCAGATGGCCCTGTCTCCTTAGGCTGGTCCTGGCTAACTGTAACTGATTGTGTGGAGGGAATTCCTGGGTCACTACTTCTGTCCCACAAGTGAATGTATGGCAGGGTGATTAAGAGCATGGAAGAGGGACCTAGCCTGCCTCGGTACTAATTCTGGTCCGACCATCACTAGCTGTGTGTCACTGGACAAAACACCCTCTCTGTGCCTGTTTCCTACCTGTAAAATGCGAAGATAAAATGGGAGGATTAAATGACGAGTAAGGTACTTTGATGGGTGCCTGGTGAAGGGAAGTGCTAAGGGTCAGCGACAACTTCTGCCTGTGTTATTACTCCCAACACGACTACTGCGCTTCCATTGGGCTTGGGAGCGTGGGTAAGAACCGGCTCGTCTGGTGACATGGACCCAGCGGGGCGTCCCCGTGCGCGCCCCGCCCCGCCCCCGCGAGGCTCTCGGGTCCCGGAGCCGGTCAGTGAGCGCAACAATCGCCGTCGCCGCGAGCGCGAACCTCTGGGCAGCGCGCGGCACGCGGTCGGGCTCTGGATCCGCTCCCCCTATCCCGACACCAGCCCCGAGGGGTACGTGCTTGGCACAAGGGGGCGTCTGCCGCTCAGGAGGGCACTGACCCCCAAGGCCACGCGGCTCCAAGCGCTTCGGCGGGACCAGGCTGGCCGCCCGCTCGCCCGAAAGCCGCCTAACAGAACGCGCTTCCACGACGGCGTCGCCCCGACTCCGAGCAGGTTCCCGTGCCCCAGGGGCAGGACTTCCGGCGGAAGTCCCTTCTGCGGGGGCGGAGCCACCGGCCGGATCTGGTCACGCCCCTTCACCCTCCTCATTCGGTAGTCTATTTGGCCAATAGGAGCTCCGCTTCTTGCTGGGCGCGGAGACTCGTTCTCCAATCAGTGAGTGTCCTCGTCGCTCGGGCAACAGCGTCCTAGAGACGCCGGGTGGGCTGGGCCTCTGCGGCCGGCCGGGCTGGGGTCCGCGCGCAGGTGTGGCCCCTCGAGGCGGAGAATGGAGTAGGGGCCCGGGTAAGGCGGCGCGGCCTCGGCGCCCGGACCCCACGCGCGAGCCCACGGGGCGGAGGAGGACTCAGGCGGGCGGGCACCGCTGAGGGTCCCACAGCCCCGAGACGGCTGCTGTCCACCCCCGGACTCGGAGCCTCCCCTGCCCAGCCGTGCGTGGGGCTGGGACTCACTCCCTCGTGCGGCACGAGTGCGTGGAGCCCCTTGTCGGCCCCGGGCCACCGCGGTGCAGAGTCCGGTCCTAGTCCTATCGGGCTTACGTGGTATTTGGGAAGACCGATTATAAACAACGTGGACAGTGGTGGCATCTCCCTCCCTGGATCTGGGAGGGTCACATGGGACACGTTGTGTGGCAGTGCCTTCAGTCGCTCCGATTGACAAAACTTTTCACGTCCCTTCTTTGATTGGTCCCCACAGCAATCTTTTGACTACCATTATTAGCTCCACCTTGTAGGTGAGGACTTGAACCCCGTGGGGTGAAGGGGATTCTCCAACATCACCCGACGAGGGAGTTGCAGAGCCAGAATTCGAACTAAGCACTTCTGTCTCATGTCCAAACCTCTGGTCTTTCTAGAACACTGCTCTCCCTCAGACCGCGCACGGTTATCCCTGCCTCCCTCAGAAATTTCGTTTTGGAAGCACTTTGCGAAATGTTTGGTTGGCAGAGCTTTTTTGAGACCCTTGCCTAAATCACTACTAGCCTTCCTTTTCCTTCTGTCCTGGAAATCTTCGCCTTTCGGGGTGCCTTGGCCCTGTTAAGAGGATCCTTACTTCACTTTCAACAAGAGTAATGAATAATGTTTTCTAAGTTGTCTGTGCCCCTAAATGGGTGAATTTATGGAAATGCTGTAGAAAAAAAAAACTGCCGTTATGTCATCTCTTTTATCCATTGTTTTCAATTCAATGGACATTCACTTGGCTAATTCTGGGCATTTGGAAGTGAATCAGGCCTGGGTCCTTTGATGATCTGTGAACATGTTTGCCTCCCACTCACTCAGCCTTATCACAGGCTTCTTGAAGGCAAGGGTTTCATTTTAGTTACCTGCGCTTTCCCTTGCCCTCCACCTTCAGCTTAGCGTTTGGCTCATGGTGGGCACTCACAGATATTTGTCACAAAATGCTTACCTGAGACTTTAAATGTGCTCTCCCAATTTTGCCTGCCTTTTTCGTGCCCTTTCCCAGCCATCAACCTCTTCCCCATGCGGAGAGCTGGATGGCACCCGTGCTGTGCCTCCTACAGCTGACCGGCACGTGGAAACTGGACCAGCTCCAGGAGGATGCTCAGTAGTCTGGTGCCCCCCCAGAGCAGGAATCTACCAGGAGGCCACTGGCTGTTAACAAGACCATTGCTGTAAGAAGGCTTCTTTACAGGTGCGTATCGAGAGGGGATGTTTGGGGTTGGTAGATGATGAAAATCACCGAAGCTTTCTTGGATGACTTGTTCCCCTGCCAGGATTGAAAAATAAGCTGTATAATAGAGGTGAGAAATTGCGAGTGAGACAAGGAGCTAACGAGCACTTTTTTCCTTTAAATACCACAAGTGAGCTCACTTTTTTGTAAAGTATATTTGTCTAAAAATACCCCAAATCTAGGCTTGCACAATCACATAGATTGGATTCTTGTAATATTTAAACACAAATTCGCTTTCGACACAGTGCTCTCCAGGATATCCACACCATTGGGAAGAGGAGGCGTAAAGGGAGGGGGTAGGTCTGAGAAAGCTCTGTGCCTAGAGAGCACATATGAAGAGGGGACACTTCTGGGACTAAAGAGCTTCGTGTGCCACTTCTTTTTCTCTTGGTTTTGACCATTCCCTGCTGTTTTGTTGTGTTTACTTTGTGCCAGGTGCCGTTGTTCTTTCTCTCCATGTGTTTGTCTGCCGTCTTACCACTTCTGCTGCTGCTCATGCTGCTACTTCTGCTCCTGGCCAGGGCTTCTTGAGCGGCTACTGTCTTCCAGGCACAGTTTGGGGCCTCACATCCATTTTTTATTTAGGCCTCACTGTCTGCTTATGAAGAAGCACAGTTACTATTCCCATTTTATACATGAGGGAACAGGGATGTGGAAAGTTAAGGGACCACAGAGCAGATAAGTGGTAGAGGGTGGCATCTGCTCCAGGGCTGCCTGATGATAGAAGCTGTGTTCGCGCCCAGTGTCTGGCACCCTCTAATAGGTATGTACTCTGTGAGTCCCGCCAGGGCTTTGAGGTGACTTGCAAGAATACCTACATTAGGGTAAAATAGAAATAAAGGTCCTGAGAAATACAGTTAGAATGAGAAGGTAACATTTGGAAGGAAGAGGATACTCAGATCGTCCATAGTGTTTATAATACAGTTGGGCTGCACGTTTAGCTCTGAGCTTCTTGAACTCAAGGAAAAAGAAAATTAAAAAAGAAAAAAAATAAATTCATTGTGTCCAGGCAAATAAGGCATTTTAATTCCTCTGGGAAGCTAAGGCTTTTCCAACACCTAGGTCTTCATCACGAAGCCTGGGCAGGGCTCGGTGACTGCCAAATGACAGAGTTCTAGGCTCAGTCGCCTCACAATTTAGGGAGAGAATGTGGACTATTGCATTTGTATGGAATGTTTGAATTGAAAGACTTCTGAATAGTAACAGTTTTTAGTAATATCTTCTGAGTTTTGTTTTTCCCCTGGGAGTTTGTAAATGGTATGATCCCGTCCCCTGGGTTGGTTCCAGTCATTTTTTATTTGCTTATTTACTTAACAGTTATTCACTGAGCACCTGCCATATGTTAGACCCTGTCTAAGCATCGAGGACACTGCAGTGGTGGTCATGTCACTGTCCTGATATGTGATAGGCCTGCTGCCTTGGGACTTTCTCCTCTTGGGGTTTTTCTGGACTGTGCCCTCCTTTGTTATCCTATAAAACCCTGAGATGACACTCAACACCTTACGCTGTGACTCCCCACCTGCCTTCTGCCCTGGGCTCTGTCTGGTTTCTCTTTCTGTACATTCCCAGGACTTAATAACAGCTACCAAACAGTGAACACAGCCTGCTGCGTGTCAGGCTTTTTAGGTTCGTTATCTGTAATCCTTCCCCAGCCTTTAGAGCTCGACACTTCGCTGTTTTGGGTCACTTGCCCCTTGAGAAGCTGGTGAAAGCAATGTATCCTCTCTCTAGAAAAATCATCTCACGTATACTTTTACGTCTAATCTCAGAGAGTTTGAAGGCCTACAAAAGCACACACGTGGACCTCGTCCCTAGTTTCCAGGTTAAGGATACTTGCTTCAGGTTAAGGATACTTGCTTAAAGAAGGGGCCGGCCCTGTGGCCGAGTGGTTAAAGTTCAGTGCGCTCCGCCTCCGCAGCCTGGGTTTGTGGGTTTGGATCCTTTGCGCAGACCTACTCTGCTCACCAGCCTCGCTGTGTGGATGTCTGACAAACAAAAAAATAGAGGAGAATTGGCATAGATTTTAGCTCAGGGCAAATCTTCCTCAGCAAAAAAAAAAAAAAAGAATACTTGCTTAAAGAGAAATATTATTTCCATTTTGCAAATGAGGAAACAGGGTCAGGAGGAGGTTAATTAACTTGCAGGTTTGCACAGTAGATAGTGGAGCCAATTGACCCAGGTCTTCTTGACTTCAGACCCTTTACTTTTTCCACTGCTCAAAAGTGGAGCTTCTCGGTAAATGACTGAGTGTATGGAAGGCTGAAAGGGGAACTTTGTGGTATATGTGTTCTAAAATGTAACAAAACGTCCATTTGATGTCAGAATAGACAAGGAGAATATTTTTCTCAAGCATTTGGATTTAACTGCTGAAATCTTTTGTGTTGCTTGCAACTTTTTCCAATTTAGTCAAGTGATAATTTTCCCCCCACGATACCAGTTCCAACAGTTTTTGCTTCTGATGCTGTTTCTGTTTGGCTGCACACGTTTTTCACTCTTGTGTTGAGTTATGTTTTCTCTGGATGCCAAGGCAGATGGATGGCACTTTTGTTATGATTCTGATATAAATAGCATCTGTTAAAAACTGGACATCACTACTTATCTGGCAAATAAACAAATATATCAGTGAAATAGCCTCCTAGTTGTGTTTGTGCCCGTGGTCAAGCAGTGTGTTTGATGGTCTGTGACTCGGTGCTTGTTTGGGGGGCATTGGTTTTAGAAATCCTGCTGATTTCTCCCTTACCAAGTTCTGAGGTGATTGTGTTCCTTAATATCCTAGAATTCTTTGTATTTAGAACACCTACAGTGAGGACCATGGAAAGCCGGGGGTGAGCTGAGAACTCATCACGGTGCCTTGCTCGCACTCAGAATGGTGTTTAGCTTTCAAAATCAAGGGTTAAGATCAACCCACGCTTCTTGCCCTCGCAGTATTGGGTGTTGATAGCTGCGCCATCAAGAGCAAGGATCAATGGAGTGCTTCCTGGGCCAGCCGAGAGGTAGGGCTGAGCGTAGAAAGATGCGCGCAGCCCATCCTCTCCACTGTGAGGGCTCACTGACTAGCCGGGGCCACAGATAAACAGCCGAGAGAAAAGTCTGGAAGCAGAGAATCAAAGTGAAAATCGAGACAGGACTAGAGGGATGGACTGGGAGGTATTCACACTTTTACTTTATACCTTGTGTCCCCCTCTGCCCCCCAGCAAAGTAATGGAATTACTGGTACCTTTGACCTTTTTGTCCTTTTCTTTATTAAACAAAACAACTGGCCAAACAAAGCTTCAGACCAAGTTCTCTGTCAAGGCATGATGGGTTTTGTTTAAGGAGGACGGGCAGGCCTCATGGAGGAGGTGCTATTCCCTCAGCCTTGAAAGATGGATTGAAGCGTGCCAGGTGGAAAAGGAGGAAGGAAATTCTAGCAAAAGCGGGAACCCAAACTCAGAGGTTAGGAACTGCATGGTGTATTCAGCATCCTGTGTGAGAGCGCAGCGTGCGTGGACTGTGGGCTCTGGGAGCATCGCCCGGGGCCGGGTTATTAATGATGTGAGTGATCTTCTACTCCGTGTCGGGAGTGTGGCTTCAGTCTCTGCCCTGGAGAAGTACTGCATTTTTTTTTTAACTTTAAAAAAATAATAATTTCAGATTCACAAAATATTTGCAGAATCAGTAGAGAGAGTTCCTGTGCGCCCCCAGCTTCCCCGCCAGTGGTAGCGTTTTACAGAATAACCATAATGCAGTTATCAATGATACAGTGCTGGTAACTCAGCTGCAGACCCTACTCACCAGCTTTGACTCGCACTCATTTTTTATCTTGATGCAGAGTCCTATGAAGTTTTAACACACGTGTAGTTTTGCATTGAACATTCTTAAGCCAGGGAATAACAGAACTATATCTACGCTTTAGAAAGGTGTAAATCCTGGCCACAGAGGAGGATGGATTAGAGGCAGAAGTTGCAGACCTGGAAGCGATTTAAGGGGCTGTTTCTGTAATCCAGATGAGTGAGGATGAACAGGGGCAGTGACATTAGGGATGGAGAGGGGCAGGGAAGAGATTTAAAAGGCGTTCTCCAAGAAAAATTGACAGTGCTTGCTGACTGCTTAGAAAGAGGGCTGGAGGCCAGAGGCAGACATTTCTGCCCTCACTGACCGAGGTTCAGGAGTGGAAACAAATCCGTCCATTCCCTCAGTAAGTTCCAGTGGCTCTGAACACTAGCCCCTGGCCTAGGATCTGGGGCTGTAGTGATGACGCAAATTAACCTGGCTCTAGGTTTTTCGTTTGTTTGTTTTTTGTGAGGAAGATTGGCCCTGAGCCAACATCTGTGCCAGTCTTCCTCCATTTTATGTGGGATGCCGCCACGGCGTGGCCCAACAAGCAGTGCTAGATCTGCGCTTGGGATCCAAACCCGCGGACCGTGGGCCACTGAAGCACAGTGTGCGAACCCAACCACTACGCCCCGGGGCCGGCCCTGGCTCTGGCTTTTATGGAATTTAAAGTCTAGCGGGAATCAAGCATTAACTGAATACTCACACGAATAGCTACATCGTCACAAACAGGGCTAAGGGCTGAGAAGGACAACAGAGGTCTTTGTGGCCTAGTGTGGGTGTCAAGGAAGTGACGTGTGAGCTGAGATCTGTGGCAGCGGTTCTCAGCGCCAGCATCGCCTGGGAACTTGTCAGCGAGGCAAATTCTTGGGCCCCAGCCCCTAACCAGAGTCTAGATCTAGCCTCAGGATCCAGAGCTGGGGCCCCAGAGTGTGTTTCTAACAGGCCCTCGGGCATCTGATGGACACTCAAGGCAGAGAACTGGGGACCTTTGGAACAAGGACTGGTTCACTGGGCTGGACAGCGGTGGCATAGGCTGAGGGCTACAGCATATGGACCAAAAGCTTCCATGTGGTGTAGCCCGAGGGCCAGTGTGGCCGAGGCATGGAGGACCCGGGAGAGGGAGACAGCTGGAGAAGCAGGCCCGGGCCCATCCCACACATCCTCATGACACCTTTGAGGACTCTGGTCTTTGTTCTAAGGGCAATAGGAAGCAATTAGAGTTTTTAAATTTTTAAAAATTTTTTATTATTTTTTTTAAAGATTGGCCCTGAGCTAACATCTGTTGCCAATCTTCTTTTTTTTCTTCTTCTCCCCAAAGTCCCCCCCAAGTGCATAGTTATATATTCTAGTTGTAGGTCCTTCTGGGTGTGCTATATGGGACGCCACCTTAGCGTGGCTTGGTGAGCGGTGCCGTGTCCACGCCCAGGATCCAAACCGGCGAAACCCTGGGCCGCCGAAGCGGAGCGCACGAACTTAACCACTCAGCCACGGGGCTGGTCCCTGCAATTAGAGTTTTTAAAGCAAGGAGGTAACATGAGCAGATCAGTATTTTACAATGATTATCCCGGCTGAGTGGCGGGGGTATTTGTGTAATCAAGATGTGGGGGGAGGAGTGGCGCTCATATAGTGTTGACATAAAATATCTCCACCTGAAACCTAAAATTTAGCGTGAAATTTCTGTAGAGGCTGTGCCTGAGGTTTTCAACACAATTCTCCTGTAACTCGCAAAATCACTTTATTTTGCAGACCCGAAAGCTCCGTTCTTGTGGCTTGATAAACTAAAGAAGAAAATCTGTCTGCCAATCTGTGCTAACCCCATTGCTCTCTTATTTTTCAGAATTCACAAATTCAGATATAGTTTATCTTGAAGGAAATGAAGCGAAATATCGCCAAAACAAATGTCGCCCCAGTCAACACCAGCAAATCGACCAACACCAAGGCCAGGTGAGACGCTTCTCTTTCCTGAACACCTGTGTCAGCCGCAGGGTGAAGATGGCGGCGAGGTCTCGCTGTCGTGCGGGGCGCGAGGCCGGAGGGAAAGGGGCTTTAGGAGTTGGTGACGATGCCCTTATCACTTTCATCTGGTTTGTGTCAGCCGTTCACACAACAAGCACGTATTAAATGCTGATTTGGGGGCCAAAATTGTGTAGGAACTTACCTATTTATCATATCAACGAGCATCGGCTTATATGTTTTAAAGATGAATGTCCTTAATTTGGTGCTCAACATGCCTACAAATATTAGACAGCTACGGTGAACTCAGAAAACGATCCAGCAGGGCCAGCAGGACCAACTCAATAGTGCAGGTTTTCTAGTCCCTAGGTTCCCGTTTCCTGCTATAGGTGGCAGCAGCAGCAAATCTTTGCTTACTGAACTCCGAAGCTGGGCAACCGTCGCAACTTTCATTTGCCAGCATCCGAGGACTTGCCCGGGCCCGGCTGCACTATAAATAGGAGGTGTTAAACACTGCCTGTCTGCTCACAGGAGCCGGGAGAGCGTAATGGTTTCCAGCTCTTACATTTTAAAAGGCTGCCAGTGAAACAGTTTTTGAGATGGAGCAACCATTTGACAGCCGACGTGCGGTCAGTGTTCCTGACACCACTTGTTTTTCTGTTGCCTGTTGCTGTATCTGTCATCACATTACGTGCGGCGGTGAGCCTGAAAATGTTCATTAGGTAAGAGTGAATTTCTGAGACACTTTCTGAGATTAGATTTTTGTGTCCGCGATAGAGAAAGCACATTACGAACCAAGCAATATAAGCTTTTTCTTTAGGCTCTATATTCTGGAGCAGCAAAGCTTTCATGCTGCTATAAATGATCACCAAACTACAACACTCAATTCAATTAAACTCCACATTCATTATTTTTTGGGTCAGATGTGGTCCCTGCTCTCATGATCTCGTGACTAATGGTCTAACAGGGAAGACAGACATTGAACAATCATAAGGGTCACGGGTGTTAGTTAAGGAAACCTTTCTGACACCGGTCGCTAGGTCTCAGTATAGGGGACACGAGTGAGACACCACGGATGATGCCGAAACTTCCACCTTGGATGGCGGGAAAGAGTGACGATCCTAAACAAGCTGCAGGAGCGGAAGGACTGTGTGTGTGTGTGTGTGTGTGTGTGTGTGTGTTGAGGGGAGAGTGCTGTTTGAATGACTGCTGTGAAAAGCCTCCGTTTGCTAATTTGGTAAATACTTTAGGAGGTCGTGTGTGCTGGCTCCTCTGGGGCTGGGGTTCAGTGGTGTGGCGACACTGTTTTATTTCATGGAGCCTATAATCAAGTTTATAATTTCCCAGATAACAGTAGAAGCTCCAGTTGTGGTAAGTGCAGCGCAGAGCAGGAACAGGCTTGATGAGAGACTACAAGGAGGCTGTGGACGGGGTGATCAGGGAGACCTGTCTAAGGAGGTGACAGTCACCCTGGATCTGAGGGGAGACCAGTTGGGCGGTGAGGAGTTGGGGAAGGATCTGGCAGAGGGACCCATGCGGCCGTGGGAAGCAAGGTGGGGAGAGTGACTCAGGTGGGAGCGGAGAGGGGGCAGAGCTGGGTCATGGGCTGCCAGGAAGGCCGGGTGTATCTGACAGGCTGTGATAAAACTTTCACTAAAGGACATTTAAATAAAAGAGGTCGATGTCTCCACCACCCCAACATAGCTATCTGTCACATCTAGACCCCGCCCACATGTGAAAACACATTTTTATATCATTGTCTTCCTAATGTGTACCCACTGTACCTTTTCTCTTAACATTGTCCTAAACACATTTTTATGTTTCTACACATTCTTTATAATTATCATTTATAATAGTGATATATTGCTCCATTAAAGTGTGTGAACTTTGAGAGGTTTGTGCTGTGTTTTGAGTTTGATTTCTGAGTTTGTGTGGGTGTGTCTTGTAGTGCGTGTGGGTAGACTTGGAATTTGTGTGGCAGGAGCAGGTATTTAAGATGAGGTTTGGGAGGAAGGTGAGAGCCTGCATGGGGATTTGAGGAGACCCTGATGTGGGGGGAGACCCTTGGTGGAGGAAGGCCGTGGCTCAGACACGTGGGGCTGCCGGCTGTGAGGCAGGTCAGTTTATATCGACGGATCTTTCTGCTAAATTGAATTCAGATGACTGGCTAAATTGTTTTTTATGAAACCCTGTCATTTGGAATATATTTGTAAATCAACTTACATTCTTCTGATTCCTATGTTTAGAACAGTAGACTAGGGGTTGCCAGCCAAGTCTAAGATATTATGGAGTATGAAGCTGGGCTGGGGGAGGCGGGACTGGGCTTCCATTGGGGGTGGCACGAACTCCAGGATCCTAATATTTGACTAGATATTTGTGTAGAGGACTTGCTTTTAATTTTCTGCATGTTCTGTTGAGTAGGTTGCAGAATTGTTAGACTGTTTTGCAAACGCAAGTTATCCATTCTTGAGGATTGACAGATTTTCTTCCTACTCTGTCAGTATATACAAACTTCATTATCTGTGTGTTTATATGAGAATGCACACAGATCACTCACATGCACTTGTGCGAGTGCACAGACACACGCACACACGCATACGCACCTGGCACAACTGGGCAAAAAGCCTAGGATTAAATTTGGGTCTTGGCCAAATTTGGGTCCCGTTCTTTTAAATTTGGATCATGAGTAAATTTGGCTTTTCTCTCTGGTGGTTAATTTCTCCACCTCTAAAGATATGGATAATGGTATGTCACTCACAAGGTTGACGATGAGCCAGCAACATGGGCGCTCAGTGCGTGCGGCGTGGATCTAGCAGAATCACTGCAATGGCCGTTTGCCGATCTGTCAGCTTCACTTTGATGTCAGGCAAGGAGCCTGATGCACGAGCCTCCCTAAAAGCCATCGACTCAGACTCATAAGTCAACTTCAGGTTCTCCTAAAGAGTGGCCTCCAGTGTGTTCAAGCATGCTGGGCCCCCACCTCTGGAGTTTCCGATTCGGTGGGTCTGGGTGGGGCCTGAGAATGTGCATTTCTAAAAAGGTCCCAGGTAATGCTGATGTTGCTGGCTCAGGGACCACATTTGAGAAACACTGTTTTAAAGCTACATGTCTGCTTCAACAGCCTTTTAAAAATGGAAAATAAATGCATTTAAACAACAATGGTGTCAATAACAATAAAAACCCATGTTATTTCTGTTTGAGGAATCTACAGATGGAATAGCTCTTTCCCCCCTCGAGATGAACCAGTGATGGCATCTCTGGGGAAGTCTTTAGTCTAACCCCTGAGACAGGGTGATTTAGTTCACACTCCACCGCCTCCAGGGGAACAGGTGCCCCTGAATTTCTGCATGCTCCAGCATCAGAGTTGGACATGCTGCGCAGACACCTTGTTCCTATCCATTTGACACATGCTACCATTTTCTTTAAATCCTGAGTCAGGTAGCAAGCTACTGGAGGGTCGGGTGGGTCCTACTCCTCTCTCTGTTCCTCCACCCTGGCCAGTGTGTGGCCTGCAGTGCTTGCTGAAGAACGAATCATTGTGAGCATAGTTGCTTGGAAAACGCTCGCACCAAGAATGTTAGGTCGAACACCCAAATAGGCGCCATTTTCAGAACTACCCGGATTTGGCTGTTTGGAATATTCATATCGTGATTGAAGTCTCACTGGCTTTTGTGGTCCTGCTATTGGTAGAAATTAGAACTGGAGAAGACCCGGCAGGTCCCCCAGACCACCCTCCCGCTGGAGGAGGATTATTCCCTGCAGTGTACTCAGTAGCATTAGAAGGAATTACTTTTCATATGATTATTATTTTTTTTATGCTGTCTTCAACTAAGTGTGTCTTGAATTGAATCACTTTGTATTCAAGTAATAAAATGCACAACAGGCAGTACATTTCTGGGTGATTATCTTACTCCTCAGGTGGTGTAATAAGGCATGGGGCCAAAGCCCTGGCATGCCTTACTGTTATTAGGAAGTGAATTTACGGGTAAAATAAAGAAAGCGGTTATTTGCGTCAGCGACAAGCGCCACGAGGAAGGCGGTGAGAGCAGACCCTCCGCACACGCTCGAGGGGCCGGGTGAGACGGGAAAGAGTGTTCGCAGCCAGCCAGGCAGCCGTGGGTAGCCAGAGACTTGCCACTGTCTTCAAGGAGCTTGTGATTAATTTTGCAAAAAGCAACAGGAAAGCCTTGGCCCTTGACAACCACGTGAACCTGATACCTGGGAGAAGCTCTCCTCCCAGCGCTGGACCCAGCTCTGGGTTTAGCGGTCGTGTGATCCCGGGCACATTGCTTGCCTGCTCTGAGCATCCATTTCTTCACCTGTGAAATGGGAAGAGCACGAAGTGATTGCGCATGCGGAGAGTTAAATGACAGGTTTTCATAAATCTTAAGCACATTACTTGGCTCGAAGTGAGTCCCCGGTAAATGCTGATTGAATTAGGATAACTTTTTGCCCTTCTTAAAATTCTTCATAAGCTAGAGTTTCTTGTCTCTTGACTTCTTCAGTCTTGTCCGATTATCTCAGTTACACCACTAATCCCCATCATTCTGGGTGTCCCACGTGTCATCACTTCCCTCGTGCACACCCTCACCTTGCTGTATCACACTCACTTTTCAAAACCCTGACCCAAATTAAACCCCACTCTCTGCCTCTCCAGGACTGGCTCTCAAGTTCATGTCCACGGACCTCAGACGGGCTCCTAAAACTCCCTGGCAGTCACTCGGCTTCTCCCCACCTCCTGCTTGCCTGCTCTTCTAGACGACCGTTTCATCCTTATCCTCTCTGCTCAATCCGGAGACACCTGTCCCCGTCCTCACTGCTACTGATGACCCGACTTCTGTGTCACTGAGAAAAGAGGCTCAGCAGAAGGGAACTGCCACAGGCTCTCCTCCCCATGTCTGTGACCGCATCTCTGCCTTCTCCTTTGTCACTAGGCGTGGACGGTCCGTGAGCCTACAAAAGGCTTGTCCACGGGCTGAGATCCAGTGTCC